GAGAGAGAGAGAGACTTTTGAACTAACAGGGGACGAGCTGTTGATAGTTTCTTTCTTTTAGGTGGGTTTGTGGTTTTTTCCTCTTTCCTGCTTTTATTGTGTAGTTAGTGTTTGTGTTTCTGGGTTGTGAAATGCATGGATAGTTCAGGGTTGGGCCCTGGTTGTTGCTGGCTTATTAATTCAATGATGGATTATATGAATTTTGTATTTCATTTGAGGTTTGTGTTACACTGCTGGAATGTGGAAAGTTGGATTCCCTCCATAACGGGAAGAATCTCTCATCTATTTTCTCATGATCAATAAAGGATGCATCAATTTAGATTTCATTATTCGAGAAGTAGAGCTCTCTCACATACGAAGTAGCATCTGCTCGGGAAAGGGGCTTGGGTTGTGGTGGTGGCCACATTGTGGTTTCTTTTCTTATCACTAAACACCACGGCATGAATACCATCAAAAAGCTAACCCTTAATCTACTTGAAAAACTGTGCAACGACCTGTATTCTTTATTGAGTTACCCAAAAATAAAATATAAAGGGTGTCGTCTGCTCCCTTGAATCCTTGGTTAAAATCGATCAACCATATCTAGGACCATTCTTAGAACCCCAAAATTTTGAGTTGCAACTTGAACTTTTCCACCCGACTTTAGAAAAGAGAGAGCCAAGGAAATTCCAAAGGGAAAGTGTTCCAGTGAGTCAGTCAAAATATATCTCAAAGATGTATTTTCGATCCAAAATTTTAAGAGTTGATAATCTCAACCTATCCGTTTTCAAAAAATATAAATGGTATTTTTAGAATTCCTATTTTCACCGTCTGTTTGGACTTTATTGGATGTAACCTTTTTTGATATCCGACTCTCAGGTCGATGTTAGATCGACAAGGGATGGCACGGTAATAAGTGAGTCGGCTAAATTACCAAAACTATGTCCAATTCCAAATGAATGTCATGATTTGTAACCTACTCAACTTTAGAAAACAAAGAGGAAAGGAAAATTGCTTGGGAAAATGATGTCTTACTCTAATGGATATTTGGGAAAACCTTTTGCAGAAAGATTGATCGTTTCTGCCGCTTGGATCCAAAATTGGGCCGGAACGATTCTTATCTAGAAATTGGATTCTCTATTTCCGGGTTTAAAGCAGATATTGTTTTTTCTCGCCGCAAGTTAAAAAAACAACTTTCATGAAAAAGTCTTTCATTGAGGGGAACGAATTTTTCATTAAAATGGGCCTCTAGCCCGTTGTTAGCCTCCAAAAGTCTACGGGTACGGGTCGGGTCCAACTGGACCCGGACTTGGACCTAGACCCAAACTCGAAAGCATTTAAATCCGTGTTTTCGACCCAGATCTGACATGCCAGGTCCAAATGGTGGACCCAAACGCTCACCCGTGTCGGGTAAACCCGGCCGGTCCCAGGTTGGGTTTGTGTCCATTGCCACCCCTAACGAAGTAGTAAGGCACAAGTACTCTCTGTCTCAAACTATGAAAGGGGTATTTTTTTTGGAAAAATATACAATGAGATAATTTACTTTCTTGACCATTAGATGTGAAATTGGGCAGCATTTATTCCATTAACTAAGCTTAAACTTCAAAAAAATTGTTTTTAAGCTTTGTGACACATCCAAGCTGTCAATTTTCACAACAAATGGTTATAAATCGTTTTGATCTCCTTGTACCAAAAGTAAATAGTCTTATTATATACACTTCTATTTTTTGACCAATTTTTAAATATATACTATTTGCATTTTAATGTGCAATCACAAAAAATCTAAATTCGAAAGCATACCACAGAAAGCTTTTTTTTAGCCTAATTAATATAGGCCATTCATTTTAGTGAGATTCTTAGATCCAGGACTTCAAACGAAATTTTTTTTTTCTAAATTTTTTAAATAGCTTTATTATCATTAAATTAATAAATGAAAAAGAAAAAAATGATTTTGAATTTGTAAAGGCCTAGATCATGAAATTCACCAAATGTATGGTCTAGTTTATTATTGAGGGGCACTGATTTTGTTTTTTTGAAGTTAATTATAGGGATGGAGAGATTGTTAGTGTGCAAAATTTAGGGAAAAAAAAATGTTATGAAAATGATTATCTAGAAGTGTGGTTTCATCATATATCAATGACACGATGACATGAGACCATTGTGTGTGCATGTGGTTTCAATAAAGTTGCAACCTTAAATAATCCAATTAAGTTGCTCCTATAAATGGACGGTCCAGATAATGCGTTATAATATACACTATTTTTCAGACTCGAAATTATTTTTCTTTTCATATTCATACATCTAAATGTCGAGATGATCAATTAGAGGGTTTTCCAACATCAAAACAACCTTTTATGATGGATTTTTGAGGTGCACATTTAATTCTACATTTTAAAGTTGCAACCTTATATAAACGTTTTCATATATATACACCTCTCTAGTATAATTAATACTTATCGGCAGCATCACGAGGAAATAGAAATTTAGGGGAGATTGGGGAAGCAAATCCGTCGATACTAGGAAAGCAATTTGATTCTTTGTTATTGTATATATATTGTATTCACATAAACGATTTCTATGAGAAATGTTTGTTCCTGACGATCCAAACCAGTGTTTGGACCCGGATTTGCAGAGTGAACCGACCCTCCAAAATTGGGGAATCGCTTTAAATGTGAAAATTGGTCTATTAAAATAATTTCTTTTTAAAAAGTTAAAAAAAAAAAAAAATGCGGGAAATAGGCGATCTAGTTGCTTTGGTTCATCCGGTTCCCTAAGAAACTCCAAGTTAAACGGAACGATCCGGGTTCCAAAAAATGAACTGGGTTGGTTTGAACCAATTCTTGGTCTGGATTGGCAATCCTTAATCCCGACCAAGGGTTTTAAAAAATTTGATCCAAACAATAGGAACGTATTTGTATTGTTGCATCCAAATTCTATCCAAACAAAAACCTATTTTCTACGAAATGTTTTTTCTCATAGGAAAAACAACTGGAACAAAGTCTTCCCAACCTTTGGATGCTTAAATCTAAGTGTTTAGAACTTAAAAGGCAAAATTACAAATAACCCCCAAGACTTTCCATGCAACTTACCCTTAATCAAAATTTTGTCCTCACTTTTTATCTCAAATTTAACTTTTCTAGTAAACACCCCCAAGTCATAAAAAAGGTACAATGAAGACCAAAATACCATTTGGAAAGCATACGGTCAAGCATAAAATGGGGGACGGTCCAGCACTTTCCTTTTGGAAAGCATGTGGTCCGGCACAAAATAGGGGCAGTCCGACACTTTAGACATGCTGTTCAGCACAAAATGGAGGCGGTCCGGCACTTTAGGCATGTGGGCCAACACAAAATGGGGGCGATCCAGTACTATGTGCAATTTCGCAAAAAAAAAAATGATTTTTTTGACTTGAGAGGTATTAACTAGAAAAGTTTAATTTGTGGTAAAAGTTACTTAAAAAAAATCTTTTTGTTGGGGGTAGGTTTTCTAAAAAGTCTCATTTTGAGGGTTATTTATAATTTTTCGAACTTAAAATCTATCTTTTTCTTTTGAAAATAATCATCAAAAAAATACTCATCTACCTATTCTGAAGTGGATCAGATTGCCAAAAAAACCCTCCTATAGCTATTTTTCTCAAGGGAGCGAGCAAGTGTAGAGTGTTTTCACCAAGCATGGTTTGCATTTTGTTTGATTGCATTTGGTCGCTGAGTTTTGCTTCTAATGCCAGTTTGTCTACAAAGTGTACACACAATAAAAAATATATATTAAAATGACTTGATTATATGGTTCAACAATAAGAATTGAACATGAGATGTAACATTGGTAGTCAACTACTAACCACTCAAGTGCCTGATTCCTTTGGTGCTTTCACAAAGACCACTCGGTGAGAAGAGCATTGAAATTCCAACGTCCAGTCGTCGTATTCTAATATATTTTTACAAAGGTTAAAGGCTTCCCAAAAACTTTCAGAGTTAATGTTGAGGATTTCAACGGGTAAACTTTCCATAATTTTGGATGCTTTTGAAAATCAACAAGTTTTATGTGAGCTAACGCATGTCCATAGAAAAAAAAAATGCAATTCGCTAGATTTTGATATTTTTGAAATGCTTGGTATTCAAAGAAAAAATGGTTTCCAGTAATTTTCATTGTCAAGAGACCTAATTTCTATGAGGGTATAAAACTTGAAACTATCCCACAAACCATGGTGACATAAAATTTCAGTGATGGATGAGAGGGTTCATGGGATAATCTTATTGAAGGTTTATCTTAAAGATGCAAGACAACATGGTTTGCTTCATTAGCGACTTGAATGAGTATATCGAGTTCGATGCAGTCCGTTGAGCACGTGCGCACCCACATTACGAAAGACTATTTGGTATTCGCAGTAAACCACACAATTCACAAACAACTATGTGAACAAGGCGTGTCAAATCTTTTTAAACCAGGAGAGCGAAAACATCATGAGTAGTTAAAACCAGTAATTAAAACTCATTTTAAATATTTACAAATATTATTTTAATGCCTAAGGTGTGTCCACTTCCCTATCATCTTCTTCTATGTTATTAAACTCTCTCAACTTCTGATTCAGTGTGAATTTCCAACTGTCACCTTCATCGAGTTTCCATTGCTTTTTGAGTTCATTGATGGCTTTGGTTGCAGCTGCTGCAACAGCTGGATTGCTATCTTCTGCTAGTCTCTGATAAAAAAGCATGTTAGAATAGGAAAACCCTGGATATTTGAGATGAGGTTCGCATTCCAGATTCATTATTTACCTGTAGAGCTCCCATGCCTGCATTCCCTAGAATCCACATGGATGGTGCAGATGCTAGAGCATTGGCCAAAGCTTGCCTACGAAAGAGCAATTGAAGGAACTTCAAACGTTGAAAACTCTCTCTCCCTCTGCCTCTCTCTCTCTCTGATATGTATTGTACTGAAATTACCATACTGAAAGTGTCCCATAATTTAGAACCATGTGAGAGAGAAATAGACAATGTTTTTGTCCTCTACACCCTAAGAATCCCTCTGCATTTGCAAAGAGGGAAAGTTTAATTCAGAAAAATCAAATCCAACCACCATCAACACAGTGTTTATCAAAATCATATTATTTTGTTCCTTCTCTCTTTCACTCGATTTTTTCTTTCTTTTATAATGAATCATAATCCTCTGCTTTTGGGTTTGGATACCTGGAAATATATTGTCTGTGAAATATATTACGGGCGTAATACATTACTGCATAATACATTACCTGCAAATGGATTGTCACTATTTGGGTAGTATTTAAATGCAATTTGGGAAATACATTGCTACTGTTTAGCTATGTCTGGAAGAAATATGCGAAATGCATTACCATCCAAATATGAAAAAGATGGCTATGTTTGGCTAACATGATTAGACTTTGGTTTCAATATGATAAGTCATTGGAATAATATATATGATTGGAATAACATGATTTTATTGTGATAAGTCTTATTTTTATTTATCTTTTATAGAAGTCTTTCAAATGTCTTTCTATATATAATTTCAAATAAGCAATAAATTTATGATACCAAAATCAAAATCTTTACGGTACAAATTAAAAAATGGGAAGAAGTTTGATTAGTATACTAGAAGGTTTGGTAATTGCAGTAGAAAATTTTGAAGCATTGGAGGAGACTAAAGAGGTATCTTATTTCAATTGAGTTTTTACTAATCTCTTATGAGGATTAAGTTGTGTGAAATTTTTTATTATGATTGTGTTGTGTAATTTCTTATCGATTACCAATTATTATTTTTATTATTTTTGTTTTTATACGACAGCTGATGGCGAGGGATGTAAAAATTTGTTTATTATGATTGCAGTAGAAAATTGTCCTCGTACACCTGTTCAAATCAATTTAGATTTCCCTTTTCATATCCCCTACTTTCACTTACTACTTTAATAATTATACAATACTTTTCATATCCCCTACTTTCACTTTCAACTTTCTACTTACTTTAATAATTATACAATACATCGTATCGTATACTTGAGAGAGGACAATGTTTTTTAAGCGGGGATAGGGTAAAGAGACACTGAAAGAGGGAATGTTTTTTTAAACAGGGATAGGGCAAAGAGACGCATGCGAAGATTTCCAAAAATATATTATCCATCAACCTTGTAATAGATTTTCCCTTTCACTGTGCCTAATGGATTTCGTGATTTTTGGAGAGATCTCGGGTAATCTCACGTAAGATCTGATCTTTCCATTTCCTTATTTCGTGATTTTTGGGGAAATCTCGGGTAATCTCACATAAGTCTAGTCTTTCCATTTCCTTACTATTAACGTGTACCCAAACAGTGTAAATGTTATATTTCCTTGTAATCTATTGTCACGTAATAGATTTTCACGTACCCAAACGGCCCCTTAGTGTAAAAGTATTTACATTATGATTTTGTGAGTATTTACATTATGATTTTGTATAGATGAGACTATTTACATGATAATATATAAAGATAGATAAAAGAACAAAAATTATCTTTTTAATTAAAAGTAAATGAACTGTGATGATTCATAAATGGTAAAACTACAGCATGGCCTCCAGTTGAATACCTAACAAATAAACAATTTCAGCAAGGAATTCAATAAGAATCATACCTTGTACCAACATCAGGAGAGCTTGAACACTCTGCCAAAAGTGAGGCGCAATGTTTTCCATCCATGGCCTCGAGATCTATAAGAGTAGAAACTAATAGTTCCAACTGCTACCATGATAACCCGGAATACAAAAGAAAATAATAAATCAAACAGGCATTACAGAAAAGCAATGGCATAAAATATGTGAAACCACAAGCATAACACCTCATCAGGATCAGTGTAGTCAAATCCATCAGCTTCAGACAAGGCAGATGCCATACTCCAATATATATCCTGTATGGAGTGTGATAAATATAAAGAAATTTCTTAATGAGAATTGTATTTTTTCCTAAAATATTGCTTGACGTGGCAAGCAAAATTTTTCACACATGTAACTAAGCCCCATAGTAAAACCTGTATAGCTGTTATTCGGTCAGTTGAAACTTCTCCAGGGAAGAGATTAAGAGCCTCCCCATTCTTTTCAAGTGAGATGGCTCCCATCATATTATCAGCAAGTGGGGGCCCTTTTCTCCTGGGAGTAAAAGAAAATTGTTTACTTAATATGGCAGTAATACCAGAACACTTATGTGCAAATATAGATGATCCACAGGTTTCGATCACAGTTTCAAATTATAGGAACTTACATTTGGTACATTTTGCCAACCATCATATCATGGATGTTCTTGACAAACTGCATAAAAACACAACAAACGTAAAATAGCAGTATATTCGTTTAATGGTTATAAGATCCATATGTGTACAGAAGTAAGTGCACAGCTTTGAAATCTTCCCGTTATGGAACATAGAAATTTGAACAAGCAGAAACCCCCTAACTTAATCTACGTTCAAAAACTGCATGCATTGGTCAAAATAACAAGTTTCTTCTCTTATTCATAGAGTTTAGGAACACATATAACACAATTATATTGTCGTGATTCACAATGAAAATCAAGATCCATATCACAAAAGAAACTAAGGTCATCCTGATAGTGATACTTCAAATGCTCTCATGTACAGAGAGCTATTGTAGATGAACTTTCATAATTGACAGTTAAACATGGTATGCATAAGAAGACTTTGTACCTCCAAAGATATGAACGCATCTTCCATGGCACGCCTTTTAACACAGAAATCTGCTCGCCGCAAGTCATCCTTCATACACGAAAATGTTCAATTTCAAATTCAGACATTGGAATAACATCATATGCTCGTACCTGATGAATAAAATACAAATGCATATTTTGAACCGATGTTTAAAAAAACAGATTGGTGACCCAGATTGCCCGTCCAGAAAATTGGTATAGATCAACGATCCGACCGAGTGAATCGGCCAATAAAAAAAAAAAAGAGAAAAAAAAAAAATATGAAAAGTTAATAGAAATAAAAGGTGGGGCCGGATTGGCTGGTTCCCAATACATGGTTGGAACCAGACCGATCCCACCAATTCCCAATCCGGATCAGGTGATTTCGATCCGGATTGGCTTTTTTAAAACCCTGTTTTGAACTATGAAAAAACACATTACCAAGGAAGCATCCAAAAAAATAAAACATCAAGGCAAGACATAACCTGCAACCAGAACATTATGGGAAAGTGCAATATAGATGTTGGAGGACTAAGCATCCATTCCAGGATAAATACTATAAAGTAACAAAAGAGTAATTGAAACATGAGAATACCCTTTAGTTCATAGTTACAATGAATAAATCGGCACCTTGTTCTGTGGACATATGGGGAAGTTTAATAAAACCATTCATGATTCCTAACTCATCGCTGATGAAAAATTCAGGTTAGAAGCAATCCAATTTACTCGTCTAGTTGTAGTGAGTAGCCATGCTGTAAGTAAGATAAAGATCAGGAAAAACTTGAAGGCATATGAACTTGGTAAAAGTAGAAAATTTGAAAAATTAGCTCAAGATTCTACTACTATGCTAGCTCTTCAAGGATATAAGAGGTTAAACTGAGATATATGCAGAATCCCATAGCCCGTCATCAATCATCTGATATTTTGATGGACTGGTGAAGACATAGTTTTAATGCTCTGTAAGCTTCATAGTGGAAGAGAAGCCCAAACAAGCTTTGACACAAGGACAATCTGAGTCGCTAAATTATGTAGCATATATGTGTGAGATGAGGCATCATGACAGATCCCATGATTATTAGCACAGGAGAATGAATGGGTGCAGAGAACTATTAGCCCATGGGGAATGGCAATGTTTTTCTATGTGTGCGCAATGAAATCTAGGACTACAGTGAATTCAGGAAAAAATTGCTCCGAGGGATATTCCCACTATTCTTTGTTCAGTCCAAGGATCAGTTAGAAGATAGCACTAAGACTTTCAAAGCACCATGTTCAGAGGCATGAAAGCAAGTTGACCACTCTTCCGAGGAAGAGGGCCACGAGAAAGGAGATAAGTTATTGCTTTAGTGATAACCAATAAAGTTTTATCAATATTGGAAGAGTAAAAGAAAACGGAAAGGGGGCGAAAAAATGTCAGGTTGACCTCTCAATGACCAACTGCCACTACCTGCATCCCTCCACAACTAATAAAGAGTCTCAGAGCACCTTATCAGAAGCAAGGACATCAACTTCTACATTGGTTCCCCTTAACACATACTAAAGAAATGTTGTTTTTTCAATTACAAATATCATAGATTTATGCAAGGGCATAGTCAACCCCCAAGACAATGCCCCTATTCCTGCTTGGCTGATACACTCCTGAGCTACCATCAAAATTTAACTTGATCTTTCCTTGTATCAGTGTGGCCCAAAGTTCTCTCAAAACGGAAACAGGTGGTCTAAGTAATGCTACTAGCTTCCAATCATGCAGAATATAACTATCCTAACTCCCAAGAACTCAAGCCAGACAATAGGTGAGAAAGTCACCATATCTCCATCCTCTACCTGAAACTCGCCTACCTCCCTGTCCCCTACAAGATACCAGTTGTTCCATTCTTGGCTCATAAACATATATTAGCCTCAATACACAACTACCATAGTACTCTGGGTCTTGGGGGAAAAGGCAAGTAAAACCAGCAATAACCATAATGATCTCAACTGAAGGATGGGTCACCAGTGATATGCCAAGTAGGTGAAAAACATATAACTAAATGTAGCGTGCACCCACAATGAAACATCAATGTCGAGCTATTCTGCCTCATCTTGGCACAAGATAAATATATTTCGAATGGGTAGATCTGTTTTGAATAGGTAGATCCGTTCCTTTGCGAATTGCGAGTAATCAACAATAATAATGCCATCATCACTCAACAAAGATGCATGACTCTAGGTTCTTGGGAAGGAAAGAGGCAAACAGAACCACCCATGAGGCACAACATACTATAAAGGGTGCGGCTTGTATAGGATCGAGGGTCTAAACAATCAAAGTAAAGCGCACCTTCAAATAGTGTCGAGAAATGTGGTTTCAATACTGGAAATCTTTGTGATAGCCTTCAAATATATTTTCATCTCTAATTACAAAATTTAAAGCATTAAAAAATAGTGTAGATCGAGTAGATCTATAAAAACTTGAAAATTGACGGTCCAAAAATGCATTACAAGGATGCACTATTTCCAAAACTTGAAATCTATTTTTTTTTTCCATGTCCATGCATCTTGAGGTTGAGATGTGATCAATTTGAGGATATGTGGGCACAAACAACCTCTTCTAGTGAAATTTTTGAGGTGCGCCCTAATTGGATTGCTTTGAGCCTCACACTTATATAAACGTTTTCCTACTATAACAGAATATTGACGAAAAAATATTCACTGTTGCACATCCAAATCTTCATATCTGCTCCTACTACCATATCATAAACTAATAAAGCTAAAGGAGAATGGATGAGGCTATTGGCCCTTGTCCAATAATTATGCTCTTCTAGTGCTCTTTCTTTGCGTAGTTTGAGTTTTGAACTTTCATGAGTAAGTTTACAATTGAATATACTCGTTCTTAACAGAACAAAAAAAGAAGATAGATAGGAAATTTACAGAGATATCATCAGTAGCATGATGCATTAAACAATGGAAGGGAAGATACTATGACACCTCAAGTTCAATTTGAACAACCCCCAAAAAAAAAACAGAAATAACTATGCGGGAAGAAGAGTTACATTTAATGCCCCATCACTCCAATGCTTGTCTGCCACTGTCTTTAGTTTCGACTGAGCTTTGTCTTTCAGAATCTGATATGGAAAAGGGTGCAGGTAAATTGCAAGAAGAATGAGGCTATAGCATCACCTAAGAACAAGCTAATCTAATCAAAGGTAAACACAACAGTAAAAAAAGAAAAAAAGGACAGCTGGCAGGAGAATGCAAATTACCTTAGCTATGTGATGCAGATGAGCAGCTTTTCTCTTAACATCATTGTCAATTTTCTCGGTGTCCTCTCTTGCCCGAGCTGTAGAGTACCACGTCATTGACAACTTCGAGGTCATTATTTGGAAGAAACTGTATCATAGATGGCAAATGCAACCAAATATTCTAGCAGTACTAGCTTCATGGTGTTGAAAAATCAATATCCAAGTTAAGGAGATATATGTTCACATAATTCACCATCCAACTTCAAGAATTTGGAGCCAAGAATTGCAACATCCTGACGTGCACGATTGTCCAATCTCATAATGCCACTGAAACGAAGATAAAAAAGAGACACATTGATTAATTAGTTGAATAGGCATATCAATTATATATAAATCTCAAATTAGGATATTTCCTGAGCCTTATTTCAGGTACAATCAAGTTGATCACAGCACAGGACATAAATATAATAAAATCAATGCTTTTAAAAAGCCAAACTCAGCTCGAGAGTCAGTGTGATACTGTGATCCAAGCCAAGTCATGTAAATAATCGTCTGAGTTTGACTAAACTTCAAGGTATAATGGTGAGATTTGGCCAAGTTTGGTGAAACTCACCGAGACTTGCCATGCTACCGTGCTAAATCAACTCAAGTGAGTCCCGGGTCAACTCAACAAGTATTGAACATTGATATAAAGGTGATGCTCTAAACAAATGATGGATACACAATAGCTTATCCATAACGGGAATACAATGATAAACCATTTAAGTGGCATAAGAACTTAATAGAACACTGAGAGATAAGATATGCTCTTTCAGCAAGCAAGAAACTAAATTACTAGGGGAATAAAAAAGATTAATATCAGGGACATAATTGTTACCGTGAGAGCAAGATGATGCCATTACGCGCCCTTTCATTAACAAATTTTGCATCATTATAGACATACTTGCAAGCTTCTGCTAGACCTTGACTTGAATAAGAAGAATTGTTTTCCCGTGACTGTGGCTGCTCACTAATTCGAGAATTGAGTAAATCTTCAACATCCCGACCACAAAATTGAGCACTGTCACATAAAGAGGTCAATTACTGAAATGTGACATAACATCACAAATGATTAAATTGTTTTACCCACTGAAAAACTGAAAATCATCATCATTGATGGAAGAGTACCAAAAGGCAAAATTTGTCAGCAAGAAAATAACATTCCATTTCTTGATTATTATAGAAAATTTCCGTATCAGGTCATAGAAACATAACACTAAGTTCTAGAGGTTCATGGCGCAATCATAGACCAATTAACCGGCTACAACACAAAGAAAATTTCTTTTTGTTTCCTCAATACTTGGGCCAATGAATGACAAGGAAAATCAATGTGTGATAGTTAAAAACCAGGGATTTAAAAAACTTTGATCCGGATCATAATCGTTCGATCTTGATCGGGAATTAGTGGGACCAATCCGGATCCCCCATATATCGGGAACCAGCATGTTCTAGATAGAAATGTTTGGTTCTTTGACAAAACTGGTCAGTTCAGTCATGGAACTGGCTGGTTTTATCAATGAACCGGATTGACCAGCCCAATTCCCACATTTTTTTTTACTTTTTCATTTGAAAATTTCAAGTTTTCACATTTCTACTTTTCAAATTATTTTATTTTATTTTATTAGCTGGTCTCACCCCATGCTCATGCTTATGTCCGCCTTACTCTATGCTTTTGTTCAAGAGAATGGTAACCTTTTTTATAGTGGAATGACACCCTCTATGTTCCCGATGTGGAACTAATTCTTCTTTCTCCTTTTCTCTCTAGTCTTTGCCACTTATTTTTTATTTACAAGAAAAATCCAAGTGATTGTCAGCGTGCAATGCACAGAAGCTGAACAGCTAGGAAGCCACAAGGCCTTTCATCAGAGCCATACATTTAAGAGTACAAAGGCTCAAGTGGCCATATTAGTAGTTTTCTTTTGATGATGCCTTTCAAAATTTGTTCATTTTCCTTTCAATTTTGCCAATTTTAGTTGCCAGAAATTCTACCCAAAAATTGACCAATTCAACCCAAAGTGGGAGATACAATGAAGGCTGTAAAAAGGAAAAAACAGTGTACATAAGATGAAAACTACTTAAAATTTGGGCGGGCATAGAGTGCACTTGCAGGATCATACTATGCACTAGCTCTGTCCAGCAGGAGACCTACTTAAGAGGATTTTATTGATTTGAAATTCGGATATCCATTTTTACATTTACAAGTATTGATCTCATCTTGCTAATTTAAAAATAGGATGATAGAAATATGTTATCTTTATGAACATCAGAATGTTATATTTTACAAGCAAATGGTAAGAGCCTATAGTTTCTTTTTGATGAACATTACTACCATTTTATTCATAACATCATAAAGTACAATATTATTCAGAAAAGAATAAAATAAAAAAACCACGATAGGTCTTGGTGAGGGTCATAGCTTTTTTTCTCTCTATTAAATCAAAAGGTCAAAAGCAATTGTACGCTTCCTTTTTTTTACCACTATAAATATTCGAGTTGGAGAGATACATTTTATTGTAATGAGTTGCATTTTAAACCTCATTTTGACTATGAAATGAATGTAATGGATATCAAACACTCAGGTATGAGACAGGTTCTTGGCATTTATGTATTTTCAGTAAAATAATGAAAAACTATAATGCAATACCACTATTTTTTTTAAAACATAAAATATTTTTAAGAAATTTCAGTTATTTTTTGAATTTTTTTAATGCCGGATCTTGCCGATCTGGACCGCTGATCCCTTGATCCAAAACGGTTTTCTAGACAGCCGATCCTAGTCATTGATCCAAGTTTTCAAACATTGCTGTAAATAAATGTGACATACATTGTGATTGCAACTCATATTTTCTTTTTTCTTGTCTGCTAAAATGATACATTGCTCAAAAAGCATCCATTCCATTTAATTACAATTCCTATCTTGCTAGAGTAAAACAAAGGCAAAGCACTTGACATGAAACTCACAAGCCATCAAAATACTTCGTACCTAGATAGATCTTGGCAATCTTCAGGGTCTCTACAGAACTCTTGGGTTTCAGTATTTTGTGTTCTTGAAGAGAGACATGGCATGGTATGTTCCAAGGGGGCCACAGGTTTGCAGGAATTTCTTTGAATGCCCCAAATGTCCCCACAAAACAAGCTGACGTTGTGTCCAATAAGTTCTCCCTTCTTAGATTTCCCAAACACAATCCTCTGGCTCACAAGGTGTAGTCCATTATGATGGGAGAATTTGGAGACAGAACGCAAAGTCCCACGAGGATCAGCATAATTCACTACATCAGTTGCCATTATTCCACCAAAAATCTTGCATGTCGTGATAGCCATATGCTACTGATACAGTGAGACGCCAAATTGCAATAACCACAAAAAGAAAAAAAAAAAAACGACACGGAGGAAAACGGAGCTCGACAGCCCTAGTATAGTTTTAGGCATTTGAACTTTTGAGGCATGTATCCTGAAATAATCAGAAGTTGCAGAGTAAGTAGTTGAAACCATCTCACTGGTATAATTAGTTCCATCAATATCCAAAAGAGAATTTCTCCACAAGAAAAGAGAACTTCTCCACAACAAAGATTAATTACAGACGGAATACATTTATGAAATAATGTCCAAGAACAATGAAAGGTAGTTAGTTTTACTTGTATTTATAGTGGGGCATGACATGGTGCATGCTATGATCTTAACCTCATCAGCACTCATTTAACTTTCAATCTTTCACATCTACACCCTGGTATAGACTTGTTCCAAGTTTCAATCCTGAATTTCCTACATGAGATAATTTCCGAGTAGGGCACACCTCAAGCTCTAGTGCAGCTTTCAGCACATTCAATAAGCAAACAAATCTTTATCTACTAGATAGTTAAATGACCTCCAAATTTTAAATCTAGCATGAGAAAAAGTGAATGGCATAAACAGTGTAATCTGTAACAGACACACAGAGGGAAAAAAAAAAACTCTCAATCAAGATCATTGTTAACTTAGCCTGAATATTTCACATTTACACCACGATTTATGCTTGTTAACCCACGTGTTTAAGGGTATTTGTTTGACCCCAATTTTTAAATATACCATGAACAATCACAAAAAAGCAAAATTTAAAAACATACCTTAGAAAACTTTTTTTTAGCCCAGTTAAAATAGACAGTCCATTTTAGTGAGATGCTTAGATCCAAGCCTAGAAGGATATTTTTTCTCATCACAATTCTCAGATTATCATTACATTAGCAATGTTACAATAGAAAAAATTGATTCTGAATTCGTAAAGGCCTCGATCTTGAAATTTACCAAATGGATGGTCCAGATTCATTGTTGGAGGCGCTTATTTGACCATATCTAGGGGGAAAATTGAATTTTATTTGTTTAGAAATTGATTATTGGGATGAAAGGATTGTGTGTACAAAATTTGTGGTCAAACAAATGCCACAAACATGGTTTTTAAGGAGTGGTTTCATTATTTTTCAATGGCACGGCGACGTGAGATCATTCCCATCGTAAATACATAGGTTATTTTACGATACACCATACTAATGGTGAATTTAAAATTTAATACTGCAACACTTTTGACCACAAAATGGCCTTATTTATTCAAAAATGACTTTTGGCTATAAATAATTCATGCAATTTAGGAAGGATATTTTTGCCCTTTTAGAATCACTCCAAACTCATTTTCGAATTTTAAAAGATCCTTTTGACTTTTAGAATAATGATTGAATTTTAAAAGTAAGTTCAAATTATAAATATGGCCTTTTCAAAATTTTCAAACAAGTTATTGCATTAATTTTTATATTTGTAAGGGCATTTTCTTTTTAAAAGTTTCATATTAGTAAATTCTAAGTTTGTCATTAGTGTGATGCATCCTAGAATCACCTGATCAAGTAGGGGTGGCAATCCGATTATACGACAGGTCGACCCCATCCGGGTCCAAGCTTTGGACCTAGTGGGTTGAGTCCAGATCCAAACCTTGGACTTGTGTCGGGTCTGGGTCGGGTCCGGGTCCGGGTCCAAGTCGACTTGATTTCGAACCCGACCCAAACATATGTATATGCACACACACAAATACTTTTATACATACATACATACATATACATATATATTTATTTTATTATATATAAATATACATACATATATGATATACAAATATTTTTTGGAATATATAATGTTTTGATTATAGTTACTCGAATCGCCTATGAGGGTAGCGATTCCGTTTTGAAATCTCGATTCAGCATTTCATCCGGCGAAAGTCGATTTTAAAAGAAAGGAATCACGTTTCCATTTTTTGCAGAACGCGATTCCACCTAGTTTAGGAATCTCGATTCCTGGATTGCCGGAATCAAGATTCCATGTCAACGACTTTATGATTCTTAGCTACACAAGAATGCGATTCTGCTTGTGAGAAACGTTGATTCCAAAAATTTTGGAATTGCGAATCCATGTTGATTGGAGTCAAGTTTCTATATCGAAGACATCGTGATTCCTTGCTACACAACAATACAATTCTACTTATGCTAAACATTGATTCAAAGTATTAAAGAATTACGAATCCACGTTGTCAGGAAGCAATGTGAGCATAAGGAGAGCAGAAACCCTTCGATGTGTGCTCAATCATAAGTGAGCACGACATGTATGAGAGCGTGAGAGAATTTGAAGTTGTTGCACACGGCAATAAAATCAAAATTTAAAATATGAGTAATATGTGAGCATAGGGAAAGCAGGAACCCTTCGATGTGTGCTCAATCATGAGTGAGCGCGATATGTATGAGCGTGAGAGAATTTGAAGTTGTTGCACACAGCAATACAATCAAAATTTAAAACATAAGTAATATGTTAACTTTTTTATTTTCTTATTTACTAATTTCCATCCTCATTCCATGTTACTTTTTAAGAACTCTCACCAAGAATAAATTTAATAATGTTTGGTAAACGGTGTGGGTGCTAAACTACTAATGTAATAATGTTTAATATATGATCAGCGCCGTCATTTCTTCAAGTCGAATAAGAGGATAACAATGCTTTTCTTTAAGTAAAATAAGAAGATAATAAGGATATGAGCGAAGTGCCCTGTGTGGTGATTTAGGTTAAATTGATCATTAAATATCAGAGAAATTAACTAAAAATCGAATAACTCAATTTTCAAAAGTCAAAAGACTCAAAACTACATTTAACAAAGAAGAATTACTATGTCATGTACTAATTTTATAATTCAAGGAAAGAAGATAAAGGGAGCTTGCCCTTGTTCTCACTTCTTGTATTCCGTAGACTAGCTCCAAACCTTGTTCCAGAAACGATTTGGAATCACAGACGTTTCCAACAACTATAGTTTTGATAAATTTGCCTGTTTATGTATGATGTGTGTGTATATTTGAAATATATATTGTGAATACTTTTTTAAAATATTTTTATTTGGCTCTCGACCCGGACCCAAGCCGGGTTGGGTTCGGGTCCAAGTTTTGGACCCAAGTTGGATTCGAGAACCTGACCCATTGCCATCCCTATTCTCAAGGATCATTAATATCTACTTCCCAGCCCTTGCAATGATATATACCATAGGTATTCAAACACAAATTTATTCTAACCAACAAATGACCCAATCAATCTGCAAAGAGTAATAAAAGAAAGTATACCCCAATCATAGCTCATAAGACTTCTAATGTCAATGTGGAATATCTCACCAGGTACTAACCTATATCACCCACAGGAGCCAACTGTCCTTGGTGGTTACACTTGAATAATATAATCAGTATGAATAATATAATCAGTAAGAGAGTTACAGATATCCCAAATTTCTTTAACCATGCGACTTGCTACTGATGCTTTCCTTCCTCATCACACAATCAAATATGATAGCGAATATTCAATGCATTTAGTTATTAACCAAAGGAGTACCCACATATCTTTCTATAGCTCAAATGGCCCCCATCCTCCCTCTAAAACATCTAAACCACCATCCTCAACCAGTTACACAAGGAAAGATGGCAGCGATACACCTGTTTACTAAACCAATGATTGCAAACCTCATGCATAATAAACATTAGAAGATACACATTTCGGTACTTTACCTGTTCCGAAGCCTAGGTAAAGGAGTAGGGTTGTGTTTGGTGGGCAGCTTGTGTAAAACTTTGCCGCAACTTTCTATGAATCCTGAATCTTTGCAGGATTAGGATATCTGAAATGAAAGAATCTTTGGGGAGGTTGAAGATAAGGAAAGGCTTTAGACCAGTTGGTATCCCAAAAGAGATTTAGAAGTGCATGGGGGAGGTTGGCATATGCTCGCAGACCTAGCTGTTCAACAAGGTGTTGAGATCAAAGCAAATGTCAGACAAAAGGAGGAAAAGTATTGTGGTAGCTATTTACAAGAACAAAAGAGAGATACATAATTGTGCACACTATCGAGGGACTAAACTTATGAGCCATACTATAAAGTTGTGGAAGAGTGATTGAGCAACGACTAAGGTATAAAACAAGCGTATCAGATAATCAATTCAGTTTTATGGCAAGGAAGCCAACAATTGATGCCCTTTTCCTACTTAGGCAACTAATTAAGAAGTTCACGGAGAAGGGAAAAGATATCTACATGGTCTTTATTGATTTAGAGAAAGCCTATGATAGGTTACCTAGAGATTTAATTTGGTGGATGTTGGGAAAAAAAATAGTCTCTAGATGCTATATCGATATGGTGAGAGATATGGGAGCACTAAATAGTGTACGGAAACTTGTGAAGAAACAAGTGAGTTTTCAGTGACAACAAACATAGATCAGAGTTAGCGTTGAGCTAATATCTCTTTGTTTTAGTTATGGACGAGTTAACTAGACATCCACAAGATGAGGTACCATGGTCTATGTTGTTTGTGAATGATAGTTTGGATCGACGCGATTAGAAGTGGCATCACTTTGGAGGGATGCTATAAAATTTAAAGGTTTTAAAATTAGCTGGAATAAGGTAAAATATATTGAATGCAAGTTTAGCAATAACAACGATAGAAACAAAGAAGAGCGAATATTGATGGCCAACAAATACCTAAAAAAGAATATTTTCAATATCTTGGATAAATAATCCAGGAAAATAGAGAGACTGAAGAGATGTCGCACATAGAATTAGAGCTGGGTAAGCGAAGTGGAGCTGTGCAACTGAAGTTTTATGTGATCACCGCATTACCTATGAAGCTGAAAGAGAAGTTCTATAGGATAGTTGTAAGAACAGCTTTGTTTTATGAAATGGAATGTTGGGCGGTTAAGAAACAATACGCCAATATGATGAGTGTAGCTGAGATGAGAATGTTGATGGATGAGTAGCAAGATAAGAAAGGATAGAACTAGGAATGAATACATTCAAGGGAACTTAGGAGTGGTTCCAATGCGTGACAATATGGGTTGGTCATGTGTAGTGCAGACCCAATACAGCACCGGTCAGGAGGTACGATTTGGTTCAAGTGGTAGACTCTTAAAGGACAAAGGGAAGGCCCAAAAGGATATGGATGGAAGCAGTGAGAAAAGATATGGAGACTTATGATCTTACTGAGGGTATCGCCTTTAATAGAGCAGAATGGCAAAACATGATTTGTGTAGCTGATCTCAAATAGTTGGGATAAGGCTCTGATGATGATGATGATGATTCAAACTAACCACGTGAGGTCTACCATTGGAAATATGCTTACTAGAAACAAAGCATGTCTTTGGTCATTCCCTTGGTAAGTGAATCTACAAACTAGGGTTTAACAAAAAAATGGGATTTAGAAATAACAACAAATCATAGCTTCTCATGAATATAATGGCAGTTCGCCACATTTCTTAGAGCAATGAGACATAAGTTCACATACAATCAGGATCATGCTATTGTTATCTCCATAAGACAATGTCCGTTTCATAAAGGGAAGCTCTCATCTATAACTATCGTGATATGCTAGATATGTAGCACATTTCCAAGTCTATACACAGATGTCAAGTGCCATTCTGTTGCTGATGGTGAATCCTCTATTTTTTTATAGATATGAATCCCCTGATTTGTGTATAATGTCAATATTTGAGAATCAGCAAATGATATTGAGAATCAGAAAATTAATGACATCATAGCAATTAACAGCAATTAAAAAGCAATTTGTGAAGATTGCCATTAATCATTATAGTATAAAACTAATGTAACTTACAATATGATTACAAACATTAGTGCCCCTTGGTTCATGGTTCCTTTCATAATTCAGATTTAATAACCAATGGATATTCAATTGCCTGAACTTCAATTCTTCAAAGCATGTCATGCCTCAAGTTTTTACTTATTCTTTAGATTTTAGGGTAAGCAACAGTGTTACTGCGACATGTAGCACAGCATCGTGTATCAAAATCTTGACACTTGGGGACCCTGTGGATATAAAAACATTAAAAATTTAAATATGAGCACATGGGGGGCTCAATCTCAGCTTATTATGAGCTTATCTTGTTCGTTCTACGGTCTCTCCATCCATTTAGTTGGTGTTATAATAATGGAAACTATATAATTTATTATAAAAAAATACAGTATTTTTATTTATAAAAGGTATTGTATGGATGTCTAGCTATATTGTGTTTTTAGGCTGGTGTACTAGACAACTTCGACACTCATAGACACATGTTCGTGCAACACTAGTTCGTAAACAATACATCCATAACAAATTAGAAGTTAAATTTAGATTGATGTCATCAAATAAATCTAACCGTTTATTTTGCAAGTCTATCAGACAACCTACCTCAAATTAAAGAAAATGCCCTAAGCTAGCAAATTCCGACAGTAATTGAAAAGAACCCTAAAACAACAAAGAGTTACTACCGATACTTTATGCAATCATAGATTCTACAGTAGGTAATTCTTACGAAATACACTAATCAACCAACTTACAAATGCTCACATATAAATTAATCATTAGTCTATTATCCTGAAAATTTAGGAAATGGCCCATGATAAAAATTCATAATGAGTATTCTGATCACAGAAAATTCATCAGTTAAGAAAACTCAAAAGTAAATTCATCAGCTAAGAAAACTCAATAAGCAAATTCATCAGCTAAGAAAACTCAAAAGGTAATAACAAGCAAAGTTACAAACTTAGAAACACTAACCACGGAGAAAAATAAAATAGCAAACACAGTTACAAGCAATTCTTCAGTAGAAACCCTAATCCCAATGCACAATTTCTTCAGAGAGGCAATAAGAAAGGAACTTGGAAACGGTAATCAAACAATTGAGTCACTAATTCAGCAACTCTTACGACTTCATTATTTAAACACAGAGAAGGAATAGAAAATTAGCAGGTGACATGAGAAGAATAAAACTAGGGCTTGAAAGTCCGAGATGGTTACCCGTTGTTTAAGTGATGAGGAGAGAGAGTAGAGAGAGAAAAGCAGAGGAGAGAGAGAGATGCAAATGGAGGGAGGGCAAGCATTCTGAAGTCCATTGATCGTAGCAAATGGTAGTGAAAGAGAGAGAGAGAGAGAATGATGGGCCACACGAAAGGTCGAAAGAATCATATCCACACATGGAGCCTATGGCTCGAAAAGAAACAACACCCTGTATCAAACTCCAAACTAATTTACCTACGCTCATTCAAACGACCATCAAAATATTCTTTTATAATATCACACTCCAGATAGACCCTTCATAGATTTTAAGTAGCGGATTGGAGTACGTGTAGCCGATATCAAATAATTTTAAAAAAAAAAAATTAAAAAAATGATAATGATGATGATGATTACACTCCAAATTAATTTACATACTTTATCTTATTATCTTATTATGTTTTTTCGGATAAGCTTACCTATTGGTTTTGACTGGTTTTGACAATTTGATAGGCCAAACAAAGTGGGCATCACTTTTGTAGATAAAACATAATTTTTAATTATTTTTATATTTTTTAAATGTTTTAAAATCTGATCAAATTAATATTTAGACCGATTTTGACGGAACCAGATCCCTCTCATGTTTAATGATGAGTTAGATCATAATAACACTGCTTGTAGGTCCTTACTAAATATTACATTCAGCTCAGTGTTATTAAGATTGGACTAGCTATCGAACCAATAAGGTGTTTCGTCCCGTCAATATCGATTTGACTGCTAGTTTGACCAACTTTTAAAAAGATTGATAGATATGAATAAAAGTATATGTAATATCTTAGAAAAAAATGTTTTGAATTTTATTTGTTAGTCGAATCAATCCAAACTCGCTTGTCATACCGATCAAAATCAATCAAATATTAGTTTTGACTGGGCATTTATTTATTTTGTCTCAAACTAGCCAAGGCACATGTAGGCAGTTCGATTGGTTGGACCACAAGTCTCGATCCAATATTGATAACTCTACGTTATCTCACCAATAAAAGAGGAACTCTCTCTCCTATTAAAAAAAAACAAGCGCCTCTCTTCCACAGGTTGCACTTCAGCTAATTCCCGGTCTCTTGATAACTCTATGTTATCTCACCAATAAAAGAAAAACTCTCTCTCTCTCCTATTAAAAAAAAAAACAAACGCCTATCTTCCACATGTTGCACTTGAGCTAATTCCCAGTCTCTTTCTCTCTCCTATTAACAAAAAAAATATATATATGCATCGACATATGCCTACATATAAACTTGAGCCACCTAACGACTACCGTCTCGTCCAACTTAGTTGGATGGTAGTGATTGAACCATCCAACTTAGATGGTAGCCCTTGAGGGCATGCCGTAATGGTAGTCGCTTCTTTTACCTTTTATACAAGAAAGCCACAATTGTAATTGACTATTAAATTTGAAATCGGATCGTTGAGGGCGTATCATCGTTTAGATACAAATTTTTTTTCAAATGTTCTGACATGCTGTCATCTATTGAATTACACCACAGCAAAAAGTAACGGTGATTTTCTTGTTCCAAATTAAATGGTTTCATAATATATAATCCCTAACAAAAAGGCCTTTCCTTCACATGTTGCCCTTCAATTAATTACCAGTTCAAATGTGCTTATACGGCAGTCCACCAAGACCGCACGACTTGTAACCTACAATTAATTGGAACCAACTTTAAAGCCTTTCAAGTTATGATAAAATAGAAGATTAAGAGTTATTCTGGTTTGAAATTCCCCTTGGGCTAGGTTAACATGGTACAATATGATGTTTTAAGTTCCATCCCTACTAAACTATTAAAAAGAAAAAACAAAAGAGTTTCGAATTGCCTTAGACTTTAGAGAGTCTTTTTAATTCTAGTAGACACCTAATTTTGAAATTGGCAACTTTTCTAAAGTTCCTAAACCTTAGGTACCACAACAATTAGTAGACTCTAGTTGGCTTTTCAAACCTAAAATCTAAACTTTAAGCTTACCCAACACCCCAAATAGCCTTGAGCCTAAGAAACATATGAAACTAACCCAAACTCTGGGTTTTGGGTATCCCGGGGCCAACTAGCCCGGGTAGGTAAGTTGTTTATTTTTCTCCCTTTTGATTCTTTTTATTTTATTTTAGATCTAGTTGCAGGAGTTTAATATTGTTTTTGGTGCAAAAAATTAGTTGGCACTGCCAAAAATTTGAAGAAGAAAATGATATGCCAATATCAGGCTTCTTTTCTTCATATGGTAATTTGATAGATAAAAAAAATTATCCATCAAAAACTCTCTCGCATTTGGCTGTAAACAACTCTTAAAAATAAATTGATTTTGTGTGAAATAAGAAAGTTTTGAGAGCTTTTGGGGTCCACAAAATCCTTGCGTGATTGACCAAATAAAAGGCACAATATGGTCGCATGGAGCCCGAGATTCAAGGCGTGCTCATGGAGCACCTCGTGCCAGAAAAAATGTATTTTGGATTCACTTTAGAATCAGCAGATAGTAAAAAAAAACGAAAAAAAACTTAAGTTTCTAAACACCTAGATCTAATCATCCAAAAATTGGATAGTTGTGGTTTATTTCACTCATTTTTAGAGTTTGTATTTTTTTTTTATCCTTTACTTTTTTTGTTGAGGTTGGTCATTAGGTGTAGTTAGTTACAACCCCAAAATTTAGGATCCCAACAATATTCCCAGTTAGGATTTTGCAGATGGAGCGCATAATGCTCCCATGGAGCACTAAATCTTTCTCATTTTTCACATAAATTCAATTGATGTCAAATATTTTGCTTATGCAATAATAGAACAAGTCTCTTTCTCTCTCTCTCAAAAGTACTTTTCACGTGCAATTATTGGTTTGTCATTGTTTGTTTAAAATCCACTAATTTCCAATTCGGATTATTGAAACAGATGGGAACTAGTTCCAGAATGGTATGAGTCTCGACATGATTCAATTTTCAGACATCATATAGCAAGGCCTCATACCATTGGAAGAGTTCCATGAAAAAAACGAAGGGTTGTTTATAATCGAATCTCAAAAGGGAAATTTTACAAATTAACCTCTTTAATCTAAGTGCAAACTAAACATATATTTCAGAATTTGAAAATATAAAAAATGGAGTATGGTCAAATTATGACTCATATCAGAGATTTTACAATCTCATTCCTAGAATCGCTATTGGTACTGAGGATTGGATAGCTCACTTTCCTAATTGTAAAGATTTACTTGGATTTTCCTACTTTGTAGAGATTGATTTGGTCATATCTACTTTTTTAGTAAGTAGATATTCATTTTGGCATATTTGTAACTTTTTAGTTTGTAGAGATTTATTATTCATCATCCCCTCAATCAATGGATATTGCTGTATATTCTTATATCATATGTTATATGTATATTGTTATATATAGCTCAATATCAATAGAGAAAGACACCAAATCTTCACATCTCTTTCCCATTTATGAATTTTACATGGTATCAGAGTAGTAAGTCCATAGCGAACCTACTTGTCATCTCTCTTCTTCACCTTCAAGCCATGACACAGAATGGAAATGATGGAAACTCGCAATCACGTAACGAGTCTCATTTTTCACTTGAAAGTAGCAAGCCTTCTGTCTCCGACTTCCCTTCTCCTTATTATCTCCGTCACTCTGACAATTCCGGAGCCGTACTTGTCTCTAAAACTCTTTTTGGAGACAACTATAACACGTGGAGAAGAGTCATGATCGTCGCCCTAGGAGCAAAAAATAAATTGTGATTTGTAGATGGTTCATTTTCCAAACCATCCGAACCACTTACTGCTGTCAAGACTTGGGAGAGATGCAACCACATTGTGGTTTCGTGGTTACTCAACGTAATCTTCAAAGACCTTGTAGATAGTGTTGCATATGCGGATACCGCATATGAAATTTGGATAGATCTCGATGATAGGTTTTTTCAAGGAAATGGTCTAAAGATCTATAATTTCAAGAGGAAGCTCTCTACTATCCAACAAGGGAAATCCTCAATAGCCTCTTACTTTACTTCTATGAAGGCCATCTGGGACGAACGAGCCTCGTACACAAAAATTCTTACATGCACATGTTGATCGTTTAAGGAGATGTAGACCCAACAGCAACTCAAACGAGTGTACCATTTCTTAATGGGACTGAGTGACTCTTTTGGGACCGTTCGTAGTCAAATTTGGGCTGTGGACCCTCTTTCCAATATCAGTAAAGTTTGCTCCTTAGTCTTGCAAAAAGAACAACAAAAGGGGTTGCAAATTTGTCAAACCTTGCAAGGAGAAGTAGTTGCTCTTGTAGCTCATTCAAATTTGGATAAGAGAGGGCGCTATGGTGGAAAGAAGCCACGTCCATTTTGTGAACATTTGTGGTCGCAAATGTCATATCAAACAAAAGTGTTACCAGTTAGTGGGATATCCTGCTGGTCATCACAAGGCCAAGGGTCAGCCACATGCTCACAACTCAACCATGCAATCAGCTAACCATGGCCAGTAGAACATCAACACTAGTTCGGGTGTAGAGTTCGTCAACAATAGTGCAACTGTCCCAGGTTAATCTAAGATGAACTTTCCTTCCTTAACCTCGATTCAATATCAACAGTTGATGTCCATAGTTGAAACCCAACCTATTGTTGCAAATGCTGCAGATATGGAAGTCTTTTATTCATTCCCAAAAACAATGATGACTCATGGATCATTGATTCCAGAGCATCTAACCACTTTACTTGTTTCACTTCTAGTCTATCAACTTGTGTTCCAAATCATAATGGTTTACCTGTTTGCATGCCTAAGGGTAGCACTACTTCCATTACTCATCTAGGCGAATCCAACTTGAGTCCAACTATTAGCCGAGATAATGTTTTTTATGTTCCAAATTTCAATTACAATCTTCTCTCAGTAAGCAAATTAACTAGTTCCATGAACTGTATTGCTATAAATTTCCCTACCTTTTATGTCTTTCAGGGCCTGAGCACGAGAAAGTTGATTGGAGCCGGTGAGGTGCAAGACAGTTTATATCACTTCGTTTCTGGTGTCCCTAATAATCTCACTGCAATGCCTACCATTCAAAGTCATTCTACTGAGTTATGACATAAGAGGCCAGGGCATCCTTCTCGGCACCAAATGTCTAGTTTGCATTTTTCAAATTTAAATTATCTCCATGTTCTATTTCTTTTTGTGAAGTATGTACTTTGGCTAAACAAACTAAAATTCTTTTTTCTTCTAGCTTGAATAAATCTAAAAACCTTTAACTAAATCCATTGTGAT